TACGTCGCCCAGGAGCCTGACGAACCTCGGCGACCCATCGGCGCATCGAGCGCGACCCTCCGCGAACCGATGGCGTACCGAAAGCGTACCAAGAGCAAACAAATCTTTTTGCGTCGGGTGGAGCGAAGCGGAGCTGGGAACTCCGTTTGGCGGAAGGGTGGGCCTGCTCGTTTAGAGTTAAAACAAGTCAGTTGATCAAAACTAGGTAATAATTATGTAGGTAGGTCCCTTTTTAAACAAATCAAACAAAAATTAGGTTCTGGAAACTTGTCACGGTCTTAAATGTTGAAGCTATGTTTTAAACAAATCTTTTATAAGTGGAGTGTGGGTTGCTTTAATAGCTTACTTAAGAGGCCATGATAAAAATTAGAACAACAAAATACAATGTTATGCATAATTTACTTTAATATAATGGTTTAAAGCGTTGCAATTGTAGACAAGGTACACATATAATTCATACATACAAGATGAGACATAATCCAAAGGTAAGTTGTGAAAATAATAGTAACAATAACAAGTCCCTATTACAGGTATCAACAGACAGGTAAGTACATTTAAGTTGAAAGTGATTGATGATTAAAGTTACTAACACATTTTTTCTTTCAGATAGATGCAAATAGATCAAATGGCAAAATTAAGCAATTATAGGCAGAATTGAAATGCTACAGGAAATAACAATCAGTTTAGACTATGAACAGAGAAATTATCATTCGAAAGAATGATCAGAATTACAGACCGTTATATGTTTTCTACTAGAACTGTAATGGGCTCATACCCTGCAGTTTTACTATTACAAGTGAGCAGAAGTTTAGGAAAAGATATGGTAAGTAGGCAATCACAATATACTGTACTAATGAATTTCTCAAGGTTTTGAAATAATTCTCGAAATGAATTGCAGGATTTGTAAAGCAGAAAGAACAATGCAACAAGTTCAAGTACAACTAAGTCTGTACACTGAATGTATTTACAACTGCTTATTTGATTTGGACTCAGAATCATTGCAAGAAAAACAACCGAGCAAGAAATCAATAATTTTGAGTGAACGGACGTTCAACAACGGAATAGAATGCATTACTTAAGCGTTGAGTATAAATTTTACTATAGGTATTTAAATAGTTTGTACAAACGGTCAGCTAAATAAAGTTACTATTGTACGGAGATAATCGTTTCAGTAATCTCACAAATATACAGAACACAACGACATAATTCACAATGTTCAAACCAGGGACGAATATGAGGAAAACTCACACAAAACAACAAAGACAGTGCACAACAAACAACAAAAAGCACTGGCATAAACAATAACAATAGCAACAATCAAAAACATTGTCACAAACAACGACAGTACCATCAAATCAACCCTTCGCAAACACTGACATAAACAATGTATCGATTATCAGAGTACTACTCAATGCGTTGGACCAAAAATTTCAAATATATTTATATTTGCTTTAGAGCAGAAAAACTGATAGTGTCGGGGGCGTCCCCCCAAAATTATGAGTAATGCACAACAGCATTATGCAAAAAGCATGCTGACAGAACGTACTTTTACGGCAAAAACGCCAACTCAAGAAAGAGCAACGGAGACAATCCACCACTATAAAACAGTGGGGAAACAAAGGTTTTAATATAACCAAAATTATAGCAAATATTGACCCATAAACTAGGGCTTGCCAAAATGCATTACTAGAATGTACCAATGTTCATAAACGAACGTACAAGTGCAAAGCACAGAACAGTGTTCAAACGAACAACGACGTACACAAATACAGTAGGTACAAAAATTATGTACACAATACAAAAATACAACATGTACAAAACACACGGGGAAACCTTGGCCAAGGAAAACAAATACAGGAGTGCACTCACCAAATTGAAGTTGCCTTACAGCGTACAGGCACTGAGGAATGAAGCAAACCGCGGCAAAGGGGGGCCCCCCCCAGAGCCGGGCGGAGACATACAGGCAAGTGACGTCACCATGAACTACGTCACGTCACACACTCAATAAATAGCCCAAAACACTAGGGCATAACACACACATAGCGTCAGCTTCACACCACACGTGGTTGACGGACATGACGTCACCGGAAGGAGTATCCCCCCACTGGGCGTTTCCGGCACCAGGGGAAGAAGAAGAGCAATCTTCCTCGTGGTGAAAAGGCGCAAACAAAGACGCTCATGATGATGACGGTGAAGTGGCAGCAGGGACACGGAGGCAGGGCGAAATGGGTGAGCCTAGCCCATCATGGCAGACTCAGGCCCGGCAAGAGAAGCCCTGTGTACAAAGTGTACAGGTTACTACAGATGTTCCATCAAACAATACCTCGTCGCTTGCTGCCGCTGACACACACACACCTTGCGGGCGAGACGATTCTTGCGGTCATGGCGAATAAATTAACTTGAGCGCAAAGGCGCTAATAGCCTACGTGCACGAGGCAAAGTTAAAAACAGGCACACATGTGGCGTGGCACGGAGCACGGCGCGGCACGCGAGTTGACGGGAGCGAACCGGCCGGCTTGGTCAACCCCAGATAACTCCAATGGGCGTTTCCGGTGGCCTGCTACCTCGTCCCTCCCCCCTCACTTCAGGCGGCGGCGTGTACAGCCACCCTTCCCACTTATGTAAGAAACACACACGAGGACAAAATAGCACGTTTCAGGTCACAAAATCAGTTTCAAGACATTGTTTTTACATATTGATATTTAGTTTGTAACTCATTCGTTTCTCCTATTTGGTGTTTGGAAGCGTCGGTATTATTAGTTGTTCCGAAATAATTTTGGTGCCCTCAACTGTAACTGCGGGTAGCACTGTAACAACACACACATCGATCATGTTCTGCTCTCGGAGGTCTTCTGCTGCCTGATGCTTTTGCAGTGTTTTGGGGTAAAACACATAATAACAAGGTATGTTTTGGGTAAAATATGTCATTATATTGCCACCGTGGTTTGGTTCTTTCGTATTTCTATCAACTTGAGAGTGTTCAATTTACCTTATCTCAAATAACGTCAGACACCGAAAATGGTCCTGGACCTAACCTTGACTTTGTGCTACTATTTTTCCTTTTTTGCGATTCATTTGACATAGTTCACTTGCAGTCAATCATATGGGTGTGAAGAAAAAGAGATGCGCCGCGTGGGGCTGCAAGTCGTTCAAAGTTCCCGGTGATGACAAGCTAATGTGCCCCTTTCCGCCGCCTGGACCAAGGTAGAGATTCTGACTCAACTGAAAATTCATTCATGGGCGTATCATATATAATAATGATTATGCTTACAGACAAAGAAAATGGGCTAGATTTTCTGGAAATCCGGAACTGTTGAAGCTGACTGCTCGGCAAATTCACCGCAATAGGTACTTGTGCCCCAAACATTTTGACTCAAGCCAGTTTACGAACAAATTTTTAATCAAACTGCGCTTAAATGCTGAGCCATCAGAGGCTCTGTTTTTACACCCTTCACTGAGTGATGAAGTCATGCAGGCATATGACCATCCAGACGGTAAACAATTACATTATATCTCCAAACTACTATTATTAAGAACTGTTGTCGCCTACTACCACTATCAAATTTGTTTGTTACACTTTCCAGTCTTCTTTTTTACTTGTACTGATGATGATGGTGGTGAAAATGTGGATAGCAGTTCAGCAGAAATCAGCCCTAGCAGCCCACTTTTCACACAATCTCTTAATGAAGAATTGGAAATGGATAGTACCGAAAATATACCTGATCAGAACCACAATGGTGGGTATAGCTCATATTATGTGAAACCTGTGTGTCCAATGTTGTCTTATTACAGTATTTAATATTTTAAGGAAAACGCCTTCGTGAAAGTGACGATGATGATAATGATTTTGAGCCAGATGCCAAGAATCCTCACATGGACTTTCCAGAAGCAAAATCACCACGCAGTGAGTTTTTAGGAGTTGTCACTGTACACATGCACACTACAAAAAAATTTACAACATCTAGTATTAGTTTTGAAACAAACATTATGTATGTATATGATTGATTCTTTCATGAACCATGTTTCTATTTCTATTTATTTTTGAACAGGGTCATTGATATCTACTGGGGCAAGAGACAGAGAGAGACCACACAGAATTCGGTTGAGAGACATTGCGGAGGAGTCTGGTGTACCTTATGATAAAGGAGATACAAATGTTATCAAAGTGCTGAAAACTGCGCAAGAATATAGATTGATGGCTTGTGAGTTCAAACGTAAATTAATAATTGCACGGCGGCAGAACTCAGATCTTTCCAAGACTTTGAACAACAGGACCATCAATATTTTAAATGAACTTACCATATCACCAGTAAGCCGTACTATTCTCCAGGGAGAATTGAAAAATATGAAAGTAAAGCCCCAAGGCAGGCGCTGGTCTTTGCAGGATAAACTGTTCTGGCTGTCAGTCATGAAAAGAGGTATACGGGCATTTCGTTTTCTATCAAAATACATGACAATTCCAAGTGAAGCTTCTCTGAAGAAACTTTTGGGCAAGGTGAATCTTCAACCTGAAATTTGCCAACCATTTCTGGCTTCGCTAAAAAAAAAAATACAGTGTTTGAAAGCGCGAGATCGCCAGTGTGTACTTCTTTTTGATGAGGTGTTTTTACGTCGTAGATTGTTTTACAACATTCGTCAGAATGTTTAAACGGTTTTGAAAATTATGGGCAACGGGGAAAGACCAACTAAATAGCAGACCATGCTATGGTATTTATGGTACAAGGCCTGCATGTAAAGTGGACCCAACCCGTTGCTTACTATTTTGTGAGTAAGACGTGCCCTTCCTCTATGCTGAAGCTTTTAATTGAAGATGTAATCAAGGCACTCT